ATGCATATGTATTAGATGAAACAATATGTTTCATCTAATACATATTATGAATTTACATATTATGATTTTAATATGTAAGATATATGTAATAATATAGTATTATATATATGTACTAGAATATATAATATATATTACATATAATATATAACATATAATAATATATTAATAATATATAATATATAAATATACAATATGAATGGCTATTGATTTGACATTCGTCCAGGCTCCACATGTATAATGAGAAACATCATAAACGCATCCTCATAAAGGACGATTGGGACAGACGCAATAGTTTGTTCTAGCTGGACTTTGAAATTAGCTTCACTTTGTCCACGTGGCAGCCTTACAGTTCCCAAGCCCAAGCTTCCTGCATTGCCAGCCATCTCACATGTGGACATATTTTAAATGCCACATGTAACCAGGGCTATTGATGGATGATCTCTTCCCTGAGGCCATCATCTTTACATGTTTTTCAAGGTGGCCATCATATTCAGAAGTCATCTTGTCAACAGCTTGGAGTTTGGCCCTCCATTAGCAGTGTTTCTCAGCCTGCCACAAGGATATAGCTGTACTTGACAGTTTTTTCCCACAGAAATCTCTAAATTGTATGTCCCATAAATAGGGATTTTAATATGTAAGATATATGTAATAATATAGTATTATATATATGTACTAGAATATACAATATATATTATATATAATATATAACATATAATAATATAATATATTAATAATATATAATATATAAATATACAATATGATATATAATGTTATATATTACATATTATAATTTGTGACATATAATATTATTATATGGGTGTGGTTATTATGTGATCCCCACTCTTTCTCTTCATTAAAGGCCTCTTAAGTTTTCAGAATTTCTGATGTATAGAAATTCTTTTATTAATATCTACTTCAAATAATATATATAATATATGTACATATATTATATATATATATGTATTAGAAGTCAGATTAATAGATCTCTTTAAGTCTTTTATTTAAACCAAGAACTGCATGCATACAGATAATTTAGATTTAAGGGCATAGTTATGCTAGTTTAACATAATAATGATACATTATTAAACATACTTAGGAAGATTAACGATTCCTTATATGCCGCCCTTGATATTCAACATGAAAGAGTTTACAGTGAGCATGACATAGCAAGTTTAATTTGTATTCTATTTTTGTGTTCTTTTCTTTCTCACACAAAACCAGAAGTAAAAAAAATTCTCCAAATATTCATAGTAAGAAAGACAAACAGTGATGTCTCTTCACCTAATGCCTCTAGTATCAACCAACTTGGAGGTCAATGTTGCTTTCTGGGCATTTCTAGCAATATCAGCTTGAGGACTAGAGAAAATTAAAAGATCACCTTCTATCTCGAGGCCTGCTCTGTGATTGAATGCCGCTAGGAGCTTTACGTTGACCTATAAATTCTTTCTTTAGATACAGAAGTCTGTTGCAAAACTGTTCCTTGAGTCGTTATTCCCAAAGGACACCATTTGTATTTCCTGGAGAGAATATCATTAAAATAGCTCCCACTTTTAAGGGCTACCAATCTTCCAGTCTGCCTGTCCCCAGCTGGGTGTGGCTATGGGATCCCCAGTGATGGGGACACTCTTCCTCTTCATTACAGGCCTCTTAAGTGTTCAGAATTTCTGATGTATAGAAACTCTTTTATTAATATCTACTTCAAATGTTATCTTCCTTATCTTCAGGCCATTTCCTTGTCTACACAGAGATTTAGAATAATTTCCCTCCTCCATTACACTTTGTTCCTGGAAGGTATTTTATAATCGGAATGTGCGCTCCTCTCTCTTTCTGACGCTTCCTTGTTTCAGGCAAAATGTATTAAATCTCTCTCGTCTAATCCTCCAGATCTCGTTATGCCACTTGGCTCTTATATGTTCTCAGTGTAGAGATAAAAAGGAGCATTGTACTCTAGGTTGGGAACATGGAATAAGAGCCAGGATGGTTATAGTTTTCTTCATCCTCCCCCATATCTGGTTTATAAAATTGAGAAAAGATTTGGAAACTTGAAAGCCATGTGCTACAGTAAATATTATAAAAAGCAGATCATTGAAATTTTATGTTTCTGATTTAAAAAAAAAATCACTACTCTTTGACTTATGTCACTATCATTACAAACCTTTATTTCTCCTGTTACACAACATAGGAACAAGAAAAGGTCTTGCAAGTCCTGGTTTCTCAAGAGGGACCTTCTACTTTATCTTTTTTCTTTCCTACCTGTTTTTTTTTTTATTGTTGTTTGTTTGTTTTTGGTTTTGGTTTTTGTTTTCTGTACCAGGTATTGAACCTGGGCACTTACCCACTGAACCATATCCCCATATTTTATTTTGAGACAGGGTTTCACTGAGTTGCTTAGGTTCTCTCAAAGTTGCTAAAGCTGGCTTTGAACGCACAATCCTCCTACCTCAGCCTCCCGAGCCACTGGGATTACAGACATGTACCACTGAGCATGGCTCCTACCTGTGTTTTTATTACTCTTCACCAAAGTCTACATTTCTATTTTTATTAATCTCATCACACTTGGAAGTTGTAGCATTTACTATTTAATTTACTTATTTAATAAATGTATTAAATAGTAAATGTATTTAATATGGATTCAAAAAGAAAACCTCTATCAGTACAGTGTTATTAAAGAAGAAAAGGTAAAATAAGAAAAAAGCAGATTTTAATAGATTAGCAAGGGTCACAGAGATTGTAAAAATATATATTCAGTCTGGAATATTTTTTAAATGTCTTTAAACTAATTACTAATTTTAAGTCCATAAGTTTAGTTTTTCTTATTTTCTCATACATATTTTTACAGTAATTGTTCCTAGGAAGGTTTTTTTGTAGATTTGCAAGAGTAATCAAAGTTTTTGTAGAAAGACATAATAATTGGAATAATTAAAACAATTTTGGAAAAAAAGAACATGTAAGAAGAATCACTCTACCCAATATTAAGGTTTACTCTCTATATATAATAATCAAGACAGTTTGCTATTAGAAAAATAGATATATAGCTCAATGGAACAAACTACAGAACTCAGAAACAGAGTCACATAAATATACCTAACTATGTTTTTACAAAACCTAACTCAATGGGACAAGTAAGCATCCATAGGAGAAAAAAATGAGCTTCAATATAAATCTCTCACTTCATAAACATGCTAGAGCAAAATGATCATGGACTTAAATGTAACACTATAAAACTTTTAGGAAAAAAAAAAAACTCTTTGAGATCTAGGGCTTAGGCTGGATTCTTAGACTTGACTTCCAAAAACACAATTCATAAAAGGAAAACTCAACAAATTAGATTTCATCAAAGTTAAAAAAATTTTACTCTGAAAAAGACTCTTCAGAAGATGAAAAGACAAGCTACAGAGTGCAAGGAAATATTTCCAAACCATATATCCCACAAAGGATTATTATCTATAATACAGAAAGAATTCTTGCCAGGTGTGGTGGCTTATGCCTGTAATCTCAGCAGCTTGGGAAGCTGAGGCAGGGGGTTCTCAAGTTCAAGTCCAGCCTTAGCAACTTAGCAAGACCCTAAGGAACTAAGTGAGACCCTGTCTCAAAATACAACATAAAAAAAGAGGAATCTGGGGGATGTGACTCAGTGGTTGAGGCCCCCTGGCTTCAATCCCTTGTACCAAAAAAAAAAAAAAATTTAAGCTCTCAAAACTCAGCAATAAAAAAAATCCAACAATTAATTTAATTATCCCAATTTTAAAAGGTAAAGACAATATGAAAGGCTATTTTATAAGGGGAGGGGGGAGGGATAACAAATTATCACCTTAAAAACGGTTCAATTCCTTTAGCCGTTAGGAAAATAGAAATTAAAACCACAATAAATTATCATTCCTACCTATCAGAATGTTTAAAAAATAAGGACACCCCCAAGCCCGACAAGAATACAGAAAAATTGGACGATTTTAATATTGCTGGTGGGAATGCAAAATGGCAGAGGTTCTCTGGGAAAAAAACTTGGATAATCTCTTTAAAAACTAAACATGCAAATCTCATTCAAAACTCTGTCGTTGCACTCCTGGGCATTTATCTCAGAAAAATGAAAATTTATGTTCACAGAAAAAACTATGTGCCAATCTTAGAAGCCTTCTTAATAATAGCCATCAACTAGAAACAGTCTAAATGTCCTTTAATAGGTGAGTGGTCAAATAAACCATGAAACATCCTCCCCAGGTGATACCACTCAATTATACAAAGGAACAGAGTACTGAGACATACAGCAACGTGGAGACCCAGGGAATTATGCTGGGGGTGGGTGAAAGGCAATTCCAAAATGGTATAGACTGCATGCTTCTATTTACATAACAACCCTAAGATGACAAATAACAAAAACATAGGGACCCAGAGCAGATGGCTTGCTGCCAGTTGTTGAGGATACATGAGGGAAGAAAGGTCATAAAAGTCCAGCAGGAAAGATCATGGGGGTGATAGAAATGTTCTGTATCTTGACTGTTTAGATGTCAATATTCTGGTTGAGATATGGTGCAATAATTTTGTAAGATGCTATCAATAGGGAAAGAGAAGAAAGTGCACTTAGGAACGCTCTGGGTTTTTTTGGGGGGGGGGGATTGTTTTTGTTTTGTTTTGTGGTACTGGGGATTAAACTCAAGTCCACTTATACACTGAGCCACATCCCTAGCCCTTTTATATATTTTATTTAGAGACAGGGTCTCACTGAGTTGCTTAGGGCCTCCCTAAATTGCTGAGGCTGACTTTGAACTCATGATCCTCCTGTCTCAGCCTCCCAAGCCACTGGGATTACAAGTGTGCACCACAGCACCCAGCTTGGTGTTATTTCTTAAAACTCCATATGCATCTAGAATTACCTCCAGATAAAGCATTTGGCTAAAAAAAAAAAAAAAGTAATTGTGTTAGTAAATTGTAAAGATAAAAGCAATTGAAAAGAAAATGAAGCGTGCAAGGTGCTTATTTTTTCTTTGGGGTTTTCCTGATAGGTTTGCGAGGAGCGATCGCATTTGCTTTAGCTATTAGGAACACGGAATCTCAGCCCAAACAGATGATGTTCACCACCACGCTGCTCCTGGTGTTCTTCACTGTCTGGGTGTTTGGAGGAGGAACGACGCCCATGCTGACCTGGCTTCAGATCAGGTAAGTGGTACTGTTAGCCAAGGAGGCCACCCTGCCCCATGGCTGTGCTATTCAGTTTCTGGTCCTGCAGAATGATGGTCAGTGGTAGATCTGGATCTCTCCCTTGAGTCAAGTTGACCTTCACTCTCAAGGTGAACCAGTGTGACCTAGCACCAACCAAACTGACTTTTCCAAGAGTGCTAGAAATCCTAGAATGGTGTCTACTTACAACGTGTTCCTAGGCATGGGTTTATTCGTCTACTAGTTCTTCCACTCCACAGTATTAGAGTGCAATGTGATATGTGATGGAATTTCCAAAGAGAAAGTAAGATATGGGTCTTGTCTTCCAGATAGTCTAGTAGGATTATTACAGAAAAATCAGTGATACCAAGGAGAAAATGAACTTGTTTTCATTCCTCACAGCACTTAAGATAGAAATAGGGACATGGGAACCCTTGAATATATTTGGTTGGAGAGACATATGTTGAGCCAAAGGGTTCTGCTACAGACAGAAGCCAGATACTTTCTCACAGGAAAAAGAGGTGAAGTTTGCAGTCAGGAACCAGGCAGTAGTCATTGGCTGGAAGCTGATTTCTAGAAACCTGAAGCATACAGGTGGCAGACACATAGACAAAAACGAATAGCTGGAACAATGGGCAAAACTATTAGAAGATGTTCATGTCTTTATGTAAATGTTTCTGAGACCTGGGTCCTCATTTTCATTCCCTAGAAGGTAAAGTAGTGTAGGCAAATCACATGTAATTTCTCTAATCCCTACATCTTGAATGTCATTCAGTCCCTCCCTGGATTCCATCCATTCTCTAAGGCACATTCCTGTCTACCACATCTGACAGGAAAAGGTCCATCTAACTGGAAAAGGACTTTCAAGAAGATTCTTACAGATGAGTCCTCTCTTATAGTTGCCTGACATATCATAGGATTGAGTAAGTAATTGATGAAAAAATTAGAAGAGTATAATCACAAACATAAATGCTGTTTTTAAGCATTTACTGATAAACTTTTCTATCCACTTGACAAAGAGAAAGCAGAAGCAGGACTCACACGTTGAGAGGAAGAAAGCTTGTGCTTAAATCAGGCCAAGTAGCTATGCATTAAACCAAATTCAAGGGGGAAAAAAGACCTCTCAAAGTACTGTGAATATTGCTAAACACATAAAAGGGCTTTGACTAAAGGTGAATAGAGAGTGTTTTGAAAGGCTTGTTGAATTATTTTCTAGTCATATAAATGTGGTCTGCAATTCCTTTCACAGTGGTGGTTACCTGTGGGCGCCTATGGATGAGTACACATATTACATTAAACTCTACAGCCCTGGATCCCCTGGAAATTGTTACTTAGATAGTGGTTGAGCTGGGTTTCTTGGAAATAAATTCAGGAGGCTGGATCCATGCATGGAAAATGAGGGTGTGGAAAGCAAAGGATAAAGGATGCCAGTGCCCACAAGATAAAAGTCTTATCCATTGGGTAAATCTAGAATGTCTAGAACACAAGGTAGCAATGGCAAGGTTTTCTTAAAGTATTCAAATGCAACTTGCTTTCTGTTGTTTCTGTCTTTACCCTATAGAATTTGCAAATCAGTCATGTGTTTTATCCTAAAGTGTGTACCTGATTCTTCTCTATACCTTCCAAAGACCCCAGTGGAGATTTCCAATAGGTGTTGTAACTTACATGGTCTCTTGGGCCTGGTTCCACAGGGAAAGGGAAATATAAAAAGGGCCTTCAAGATGTCAAGACCGCTATCCAGATTATAAGACAGATTCTGATAAAGGATAGTGATGTAACTGGAGGTCAACCTAGGCCAGTATTATTTGGGCTTGGTGGAGATACAGCATGGGATTACAGGTCATGGACATGCCCCAGTGGGAATTGGTTCCCAAAGACTTGATTAATTTGACCCCCATCCAGGAAGGGAGAAGGGTAATGGTGGGACTGGATGTATTAGGGAAAGAAGTCAATAGGGCTCCAGTCTAGTGGACAAGATGGTAATCTCAGCTGAGAAATAGAGTGTAAATCTGAAATCAGGGCATAAACCCAGTCAGAAAGGCCAGAGACCCATCTACCAGGACGTTAAAGAGAGAAAACTAAAGTTCATTGATACAGAGAAACCCTGGAAGTCAATTCAGGCAGATAGGACACAAAGCAGCAAGAGTAGGGCCAGTGGCTTCTCAAACTTGGGTGAGCACAAGAAGCACCTAGAGGGCTCATTAAAACTCACATTGCTGGCCCCTACTCAAGTTTCTGATCCCCTAGATCTAAGTCAAGGTTTGAGAATTTGCATTTCTACCACAGTCCAGGAAATGCTAGTGTTGCTGGTCCCAAGCCCACACTTTGAGAACTTCTGGTTTAGAATTCCTATCCCTGGTGGAGATGGAGCTGATATTAGATACTGACAGATTTGGCTAGGGTTGCACAGGACCCCTGAGCCTGTGCACCTAAAACAGAAGGAGGCAGAGGCTCTCCAAGGAGGAAGAGTCACTATGCATTGATGAATGGGGGGAAATACGACATAATCAAATAAACATTAAGGAACAGGACCATAAGTTAGGACTTCAGCAAGCACATACACATATGCATGACATGAATTTGATCCTACTATGTTCTAGTGATACTATCTATGCTCCACTTCCCTGTTCTGGCTTGTAATGTTATCAAAGATATTCTCAGTTCCATATGCCTTTAAATTCGCAGCTGTCCATCATTTGACTACATTTAGCAAGGCTTCGCTTGTTTACTGAGCTCTATCTCATTAACCAACTTTCATGTCAGTCTCTTTCCATAAAATGCCAGAATGTAAGTAGATCGCAATTTTAATAAAATAACAGAAATCAGGAAGCTTATGGGGGAGGTAATGCAAATGTGATATTGAATAAGAACAAAAATCCTTGCTTGGAAGGCGATTTGTTTGCATGCGTACGTGGCCTTCCGTTCTTGAGTCTACACTTTTTTTTCTTCTCTCTCTCTTAAATTATCAGGCAGGTACTTGAGTTGTTTTTTTTTTTTTTTATCCCTATAAAATTTTCCATTCAGCCACAAACTACCACAGTAGGATGCAAATAAAATGTTTTATATAAGGTAAAAATTGGTGGTATTAATACAAATTGCACTTTGATGTGAATGACTTTAAAACAGCAATGATCCTGTGTTTAGAGAAACTCTTAATGATCTTTAGATATGAAATACATTCTCCATGATTAATCTGGTCCTGATTAAGCACCAGTCAAGTTTCTTGTCTTGAAGCCACTTAATTTTCATTTAAAATTTCTCTTAAATTTTAAATTTTCTCTTGATTTTTCTCTTTCGTACAGTATTAGAAATAAGTCATATTTTTGTTTCTCAAAATTCTAGAGAAAAAGAAAACACTTCTCCAGCATTATTTTGGAGGTTTTCATGTCGAGGAAATCAGTGTGGTGACTTGCTTAGAGTGTGGAATACATTAATACTGGCCACGAGGAAAACCCAACTCACAGTCTCCAAGGACCAGCTCTGCTGTTAGGCAGGAAACTAAAGCAATCCAAAGTGGCAAGCTTTCCCCGCAGAGCTCAGTCAACAGAATTATCAAGCAAATTATCACACATGCTTACACATCAACATCAAAGACCAAAGAGGTGGCCCTCTCTGGCAGTGGCACCAAATAATTAAGGTTGGGATGATAACGCCATGCTTGGTTTGGGGTAGGGCACCTCATGGAGTTAACAAGGTTTCAGCAAACAGTCCATGAGAACAGAGCCCATACCACAGGCAAACCCCTTTTGGGCTCCCCTAGATAAGATGTTGGACCCAGTTCATATATATATGTGCAGTTCCATAGGTAGTAAGAAACAGAGGTGGGTTGGAACTCACATATCCTAACTCCAGAGTGTATGCACTTATTTACTACATTAATAAACTAATTAAAAATATTAAACATGCATGCAAATTTGAGTCCTAGAAAGGAACCCAAATAGAAGACAGCTATCAATGGAACTTGACTATATGTATCTCTCCATTATATTAAGTTATATTATACCTAAACACAGTGTGCCTCCACTAATGACTGTATGGCCTCCAGACTGTGACCTCCAAACACTAGTAACTATCGGACAAAAGTAGCCAGCATTCAAGAGTCACTATTCTGTCCTGGATCCTAGAGAGCAAAGTGCCAGGCACAGTGGCTGGTGTCTTGCCTCTGCTCTGTAAAGCAGGAATAATAGTAGCTACCCTACAGGGTGGATGAGGCCTTGCAAGTGGCCACACTGTGGGGCTGCAGAGCCAGACTCCAGCCCAGACAGTCCAAGCCCAGAGCCTGTGTCCTGAATAGTGCACTCTTCTGCCCCCTGACTAAATGAGCTTATCCTGGATAAGCCTGAAATGTGCCTTGATTAACATATCCTCTAGGGGGAAAAAGACATGTGCTTTTATAACCAAGAGAGGCCTGTTAAAAACAAACACAGGAAATCTTCATCCATCATCAGGACTGGACAGACTTGCTCATGCAGTGCAGAAATTCTTCGCTATCGTCTTTCTCTTTGACCTGGAACTGTTAAAGGTAAACGAAGCCAACTCTAGAGGAGACAGTGGGGACATTTGTCTTCCTTAATTATATGAATTTATAATTATAGGAACTGCAGGAACTTGTCACCTTCATCTCCACCCCATGCAGATCCCAAGTCTTTCTGCTGTCAGGTTCTTTCCCAAATCAACCTAAAAAAAAGTTTGCAAACTCCAGCCTGTGTCCATTGCAGACTGAAAAACTTCTAGATAGTGCAGTGCCTCCAGTATCAATATTTTAGTTAAATATTTAAATTCTATTTTTGGTTTATGACCAAAAGCCATCCTAGAATGCTTTCTTTATTAGTTATACTCACTAGCTGCAAAGCTTTAAAATAACAGTCATCCTAGGAATGTACACAAAGATAAAGAGAGAATTCTCCTTGGTAATATTCTTGAATCTTGTAGCAGAGTTAAATACACTTGCTTATATGCAGACTTCTTTTATTACTGAGGTAAGGACCTATCAATTTAAT